CAATAGATTTGATGAAAACAGGGAGTTTGAGAGAAATTGTATGTTCTCCTTGTTAACCAAAGTTGCCAAAATATAAGTGGGGATCCTCATGCTAGTAATTGTACTGTCAGATTCTAATCATCTGATGGCACTGCATTCATCACGAATTTGTGGTATTGCAACTGACTGATGCGCCTACTGGAAAGGCTATGAAGGCACACCATCATTTTTTTGGTGACAAATCACTAAGAAACAAAGAGTCAGAAGTTCTGAGTAAGCCTCTGAAGTTCTCCATAACTTCAAAACACACGCAGAATTTTAACTTACTTTTAACCATGAATAAGATTGCTTTTGGAAAATTTCTAGGTATGTCCATTAAAGGCGGTCATAGTCAAAACCAACATAATGCATAAAAGCAGAACTCAAGTAGAATTTAGGTGCATACATCCAAGAATTCTAACAAGAAAAATCCTACCAGTTCAAGCACCTGGGAACAGACACATCTGCTTCACTGTTTGTACCTTCTTATCACAGGTTATCACTGCTACACTGAGTAGCTCACCATCTACATTATACCGAAGCCTAAATAAGATTCATAAAATGAAGACTCCCATATTTTAGTCACCTGATGGTTCTGATGTTTAAGCTCTAATATAGTTTTAAAAGCTCTGAATTATTTTAAATTAGATCAACAGCAGAAAAATGAAAACAAAAGCACAGAAGAAAATGTCACTAGCATGATTAGTTTTATAGAATACATCATCAAAAAAATAGTGCTAAACTTCTACATAACAATTTAATAAACAGATTGCCAAAGTTGTGCTATGGTGAAGAGCAACACGCAAGCTGAAGTAGCCAGACAGAAACAGAGAATGAAGAAATAAGCCAGAAGTGGAACTCTCTAGTCCAATGATAAAGGCATTCATTCACCTTCCTGAGTCCCAATCCATACTCCTAAATTTTTTTCTATTTATGCTTTTTTTTTTTCACTAAGAAGCTACTGGATAAAATCCATAAATTGCTTTCTTCCATCCTTGGATATGACTGGCGAGATACCTTGAATGCTTTATGGTATCAAAAGGATAAAATTATGCACTGAAAATACAGAAGAGTTCTATAAAATTCTCCTGTTGCTTTTAAATGCTTTCACTCCTATAAGCAAAACTGCAACTTAACATATCCATACGCAAGAGTCATTTGTAAAACTACAAACTCAGACTGTCTGAATTTTGACAATGCCATCTCTTCAAGATGCAACAGTAATAATAGAGAAGAGTGAGATTCTTGCTGCTAATACAGTGAATGAGCTGGAGGATTTTGCACAAGCCTTGCCTATAAGAAAGTACTTTTGGAAATTCAGGAGTTGGAGAGAAAACCTGAAAATGTAAAAAAAAAAATAATAAAAGAATTCTGTACAGGTGTCCCAAAGGAAGCCATCAACCACTTTCTTCTTAAATCTGAAAAGCAACATTTGAATAAACAGTAATGAAAGTAATGTTTCAATTAATAGAAAGTTTAACTTTACCTTCAGACTCTTTAAGTAGTTGGATAACATACTCGGGTGAAAACGATTTTCTTCAGCAACCTGATCATCGTATCTTGGTCCTAACATTGTCTTCAAAGGTAAAAACTTCCCTGTGAAAGATAATCGAATTTTGCAGTATTTTATCTATACTCATGTATAAGCACATATACAACTTAGTTATTTCAAACCAACATGCTGAGCAGACTTAGAGTTCACCTTCAATAAAAAATTATCACAGGAAAGGTATCAATAACAGTTGAAACGACCCTTAATTTAGCTTAATTTTCTTTGACATGAAGCTATTAACTCCATACATGACAGCAGCCACTAATTGTTTATGACTACAGTATGTTTAGATTGAGCACTGATTAGGAAGGCTAGACTGAGTGAAGTGTACACGGTTGAGAAAGAGAAATTTGAATAAGATGCAGTAGTAAAATCCACAATTTAAAAAAAAAAAAAAACAAATAACACCCTAAAAAGTAACAGCCTTTTGTTTCAAGAACTGCTGTTCTGGGTTAAAATATCTGTTTCATCTAGAATCTCATCACCAAAACAGGTCAATAACAGATGCCTAGGAAAGAGTATAAAACCATGACAATGACAATCCATCATCAGATTATTCTCCCCAACTACAACAAGCTACAGCTCAGCAACTTCCTGAACCAGAGGAGTTACTCTTCTGTTTAAGGTGTTCTCTCTATAACTGTATGTAATATGGATGTTTTAAACAGCATTTCACCATTCTGCATGCTGCAGGTATGTCTAGAACAGGATTAACTAACGTGAATCAACAGAAGGAGACTGAAAGATGCTGCCAAGACACTTCTCTTTTTAATTTTTCAATATCTTGCTAGCACTCTCCATGGCTAAAGCAAAAAGGACTGGGGTTTCAGTGGTTATAAAAAGCAGGTACCTGCAGAGATGGTGATGCCAAGGCAGTAAGGATGAAACAGCCTGATCATTTTAGATCTAAGAGTTCAGGGCAAGCTTTTTTCATAAAGTACATGATTGAGGTGCTACCCCAACGAAATAAACATGAGAACGCCCCATTCTGAACTGCTGTACCATAAAACCAGTAAGTGGCAGCAAAACACCAATGCTTAAAGAAGTCAACTGGAAAATAACAGGAAGACAACGATTCACACCCCATTCGGAATGATGGGTCCTGCTAACCCAACAGAAGAGCTCCAGGCCTCACTAGAACTTGTATTTGGTCAACAAGACATTCTAGATGCCACAAACATAAGACAAGAGGGTCATGACCAAACACTTGATGAACATTAGTCCACAGAAGCCAGACAAACCTTCCTCAGCAATATTATTATTATTATTACACTATCAGATGGGAATAAAGTCATATACAGATGCTTAGAAATTTGATCGAAATGCTAATTGAAACTAGAATATAACACCTCTGGGAGACAGCACCAACTTCAATAAACTCTAAAAATTATGTCTCATTAAAACTGTTAGATGTCTTCGAATGTATAGCAGAAAAAAGGAGAGAGGGCTTATAGTTTGCTATGACTTTTGGCAAGTTGTGCACACAAAAACCCTAAAAATCACAGGAACAAATGTAAGAATACATTACAATAAAGCAGCCAACGAAATGAACCAAGCCCTTTCCTTCTTTTTTAATGCAGTAGCTTCTTGTGCTCGCACAAGAATGAAAGTGACCAGACTGAATGGAAAAGAATTACCTTGCAGTTGCTGAATAAACAAACACACAAGCGGTGATGGCACAGCAGATGACATGCTGATGAACCACATTCCTGCTGACTCCATGCTACTATATTTGAGAAGCCATGGCTTAAGAAAAAAAAAAGACAAACAAGCAAAACCAACAACTCCTAGAGATCAAGAACTTGCTGAGTAGAAAAGCAAGAATAAAGATAAATGGCCTATCTTTGCCATGTCCAAAGGCTAACAACTTAGGCTATCAAATCTCTTATTAGGAATTTGAGGGAAACCAGTAACCCACAAAATGAACAACTGAAATTAAATACTGATAAATGCCAAAGACTGCATATTGATGGGAAGATTAAGCCTGTTGAGACATCTCACCAGGTTCTAAATAAACCTGTAAACAGTCCTCAGTGTCTTCAGTTCCACAACCAACTCTCATCAAAAAAGCATAAGAAGACGATGTAGAAACATGGGATAGAAAACACAGGAATTGTAACTGTTAAGCAAATTGTGGTACACTGCCATCTAGAACAGCACGCTGAGTAGCATATGCTGTTTTTAAAAAAAAAAAAAAAAAGCCTTTAAATTATCACAGATAGGAAGATGAAAGGAGTGAAAACTAGAAGATATCGGGGGAAAAAAACCTGGAGTTTGGATTCGCTTACCTTATAAAGGAAAGAACTTGAGAAAACTAAAAAGAACAAAGTTTGTTTACTTTGTCTGATACTAGGTAGGCAGGGGAAACATTCATCTGAAGTCAGAATGGTAGTTAGCTCACAAGCAAAAAATGTGTGTTCACATGATACTTAATTCACTGCCACCAGGTGCCAGCAAAACTAGATACCTCGCAACAATCGAGAAAGACAGCGTGTTATGGGCAAGAACACCCAAGATGACAGCTATTACTGACAATACCTGAAACACACACACAGAGAAAACTTTAGAGAGCAGCACTTAAACTCATCCTTCAGCTGAACAGCTTAGGAACACACCGGTGGCTGACAGGCCACTGTCAGTCGGCCCAGTAAGTGAGCAACATTGATAAACATCAAAGCTTTCAGGGGGAAAAAAAACCCACAAAAACCAAAACCAGAGAAGGAAGAGGGTGCTCGGGGGACTCGTCAGGGCTGAGGTGTGCTCCGGTACCGCAGCTTCTGCACGCCCGGCTGCCGCCCCTCTCATCAGACCTGACGGTCGGGAAAAGTTTTATAGTCCTAAACTTAACCAGTGCGAAGCGAGAACCCAGCATTAATGCTCCCGTGGGCAGAAGGCGGAGGGGGGCTGGTACCCCGGGACAAACACCGGCCCGGGGAGCTGAGGCGGGGGGGGGGAATGGCCACCCGGTGCCGGGACAAAGAGCCCTGGCCGTGCCGGAGGGCGAGGGAGGCCCCCACGGCGCTGAGAAGGAGCGAGGGGGGGCTGAGGGGCCGGGACGGGCGGGCAGGGGAGCGCAGCGAAGGGGAAGGGACCGTCCCCGCCACACAGCCACCGCGGGGCAGGGCAGGACCGGGCAGGACCGGGCCGGGCCGGGCCGGGCGCTCACCTGCCACGGGCTGCCCCCTCCTGGGGCAGTGGAGCCAGCGCGGCGGGATCTTGTTGTAGGACATGGCTGGGGGGGCCCGGGCGGCCCCCGCCCGCCCGCGGGGGTGAGGGGAGGGAGGGGGCTGCGGGGCGGGAGAAGCCCCGGGGCGCTCAGCGACCCCTCGCCCGCGGCGCCTTCATTCAGACCCAGCTCCGCCTCAGCCGCCGCTATCCCACACTGCACCGCGCCCGCCGCTTCCGCTTCCGCTTCCGGGTGAGGCCCGGAGGCTCGGCGGGCCTGAAGTAGGAGGCCCGGCCCCGCCGCTCCCGGGACAACCCACAGGCCGGGGCCTTACGGAGGGGATGGGGGCAGCGGGGATAGGGCTCTGCAGCCAGCAGCAGGCCCGTCAGTCGTCGTGGGGGTAGCGGGAAGAGCGAAACAGAGCGCCGGGCTGTGCGGCTATGTGAGCCTGAGGGCCTGGGCTGAGCCGTGTTTCCCCCGTCTCCGAATAAAGGAGCGTTGGGGCGGGGAAAAGATTCCCGGTGGGAGGTTTTTTTCAGTCCGGAGGAGGCGTTTGCGTGGGCTTCTGGGGGAAAAATGGGCAGGTTTTTGAAAGAGAAAGTAATTGCAGGCTATTAAAGTAGCGGTCTGCGTCAGGCTTGGGAAATGTCCCGAGCTGAAAATAACTGGAGGCTTGGACATACATGCACGGCCTGTTCCTACTTCTCCTTGGATGTTCCCTTGTAGCCGGGGCTGGAGGTGGAAATAAATAGATGGATCCCTGCTCCAGCTGATAGTGCAGCCATTCTAGTCTGCAGGTCATAGGTTTGCCCATGTAGCCAAAATGCCTCTGAATCAGGCCTCTTTTGTAAAATGGCAGAAAGATTAGGCTTGCAGATAGGTCCCCGTAACAAAAACTAGGTTTCTGTACAGAATCCCAGTGAAAATTTTCCATGGGCTTAAAGCGGTCTATTTACGTGTACTCGGTTGAAGAAATGTAGCCTGGTGGTGTTTTCCTACGTGGATATTTGAGATGGTGGTGTGGTTTAACTCCAGTAGGCAGCTAAGCCTTACACAGCCCCTTGCTTGCTCGCTCCCCCCTGCAGCAGGATGAAGGAGAAAACTGGAAGAGTAAAAGTGAGAAAACTCGTGGGTTGAGATAAAGGTAAGAAAAAATAAGGAATTCATTCACTACTTCCCACCAGCAGGCAGGTGTTTAGCCATTTCCAGGAAAGCTGGGCTTCATCACTCACAATGGTTACTTGGGAAGAAAACACCATAAGTCCAAATGTTCCCCCCGCTTTCCTCTTCCTCCTAGTTTTTATTACTGAGCACAATATCATTCAGCCTGGGATATCCCTTTGGTCAGCTGGGGTCAGCTGTGTCCCCTCTCATCCTTGTGCACCCCCAGGCTGCTCACTGGCAGGACAGTGTGAGAAGGAGAAAAGTTCTTGGTGCTGTTCAAGCTCGGTTCAGCATTAGCTACAACATCCCTGTGTCACCAGCACTGACTTGGTTACAAATCCGAAATGCAGCACATTGTGAGCTACTGTGAAGAAAATTTAACTATCCCAGGCAAAACCAGTACAGGTGGCTTCAGTGAAGCATTAGGAAACAACAGCAATGGATTATTTTTATTTCATAGCTTATTTTCCAGGCACTTTTCAGTACTGTTCTGTCTGGACTTTCTGGTTTTCTGTAAGCCAGGTGTGCCTCCCTTGCAAGTCAGTGGGTGCAACAGCTTGCAGAACTACCCACTGTTGTGGTTTGTACAGATACAACAGGAAGCCCATAGGTCCCGTGAAAGCATCAGAACAATGGAAATAACTTCATCTGTCTAGAATTTAGGACAAACTTCATTATACAGTGACTATGTTTCCTGCTGCGTTTTATCACTCTAGATTTTATTGGACATAGTTTCTATCCTCTAGTAGTAATTGAGGTAATCAGTTAAGTAGTTTGCATATCTGAGTCACTAGGTTTTTATACTGCATTAGAAGTTTCTAACTTTTGTCCTCTAAGGCTCTTGTCATCATCAGACATTAATCTTCTCATTCAAGCTAAAATTAAAAGTTTTGCTCCGGTGAAAGACAATTCATATTATTTTCCTTCACCATTAAATAGATTTCCATTAAAACGTTACTCTATGGTGTTTGAAATATGTTCATTTTTCCTTTACAGAACCAACAAGCAACAGTCAGACACCAGGTGGTGCCGAAGACCAGCCAGAAAAGAAAGTGAAACGAGGGCAAGGAGTGTTCAGAAGGTGCAAAGAACAACTGCCAGATACTCAGTTTCTGGTTTCAGTAAGTTAGGGGCAATGTACGGTAACGTCAGCAGTGGGGCAAAATTAGAAACGAAACCAGCTGCAGAGGTGAAGAATGATACAAAAATATGTCATGAATGAGCAGTAATTTCTGTTCTCATCGTATAGCTTTCATATTCTGATTTGCTTTTACAACAAACTTAACAGCTACAGAGCAAAAATAGCACGGAAAGGTGTAGAGTTAAACTGGGAGGGTACGTACATCTGGTTTTATTTAGCAATGTGCAAGGCCAATAACACTGTTTGAAATGTTAAATGGAAGGTAGGGAGTTAAAATGAAGCCTACAGCCAAAATGAGCTTAGCCAAGTATCATCCATAGTTTAGGCCTTTGGCTGAGTGGATTTGGGGAAATCTCTCTGCCAAACCAGGGTAATGTGAGTAGCTTTTTGGCAGAGCCCCTTTGACACACCGGGGGGCTTTTCCTGACAGGACACATAGGACTGTGTGCCACGTGCCATCTTGCTCCACATCAGGTACCGAAAATCAAGACGGTTTGAAGCCATTTGTTGAATGAGGAAGGAGGTTGTTCCTTTTATCTTTTATTCCCCAACAAAACAGTGTCGGAGCTGCTGTTGAGCAAGAGGAGTGGTGTCCTGTAGATCTGTTGGTGGTGACAGGGGAATGGTGGTTTTCATCTATTTAAGAGTGAATATGTTATAAATACCACAGTAAGAGGCAGAATATAGGGTAGGGAATATCGAAGAAGGGAATAATCCTGTGTGTTCCTTAGGGAATTTTATGTGGGGAAAATTGTATCACCCAAACCGAGGAGTATTCTCCAGCAGAGCAACAGAGTATTCACGTGTTTGAGAATATGTTGCTGCGTTGCCTCTCACAGATACAACACAGGCTTCAAGTGACTCTACTCTTCACTTGATGTAGTGCTACCTTGGTGAGGTGTTCTGCTGGTCTGGAGAACTTGGTTACATACAGGTGACGTTGTGGTGTTCTGCATGTGTAGGTGACACTGGACTTTGCCACGTTGCACCCTGAGGAACAATTTGTGCAGGCACAGGGTGATGTTTGTGTGTGACATCAGTCTGGGGGAACGGACATTTCCTGCTGCACCAGCACAGGGCACCGAGTTCCTCGGGTCATGGTGCGACTTCCAAAAGCTGACATAGTTGTCTTTGAACAAGGAACACGGCGTTAGTGGTTGTTTTAAGGGTTGCTTTGAGAAAGCAACTGCAAGTGTTTTAATAGTCTGTGGCATTCAGATGCCTGGATCCTTACTCGCGTTTCTGCTCGCCGATTTCATGGAATGGTTAGGGTTGGAAGGGACCTCAAAGATCATCGAGTTCCAGATTTAAATCCTTTTCCTGGCAGAGCAGACACTATGATCAAGAAGTCATTTTCCCAGGATGCGGTTCATCCTCTGTGCCACACACATGTTGACTTCTTTGGTTTCAGCTCAGCCACATTGTTTCAGGTAGTGGAGAGCTGCATTTTTGCTCTACCTTGATTGAAAACCATAAAAAAAAAAACCCACACACCAACCCCCCTATGCACACTTTAACTCTTTTTTTCCTAATTACAAACTGAACATTTACCCAAATTGTTGCTGATGAATAATCTTTGAATGTCATATATTAATATTGTAAGTAGCTAGATAATGGAAGTTACATGTTCTACACAAAGTGGATAAATTGTGTATTTTGCCTGAAGGAAGAACACATGGTGTTGCCTTTTTCTGTATTGATAGAGGTCAACAACCCCATTACTGTTCTGTTTCAGTACAACATTATTTTCCATGTGTTCATAAAGTAATAATGTAATAAGAAGATAAAAACTTCCCTTGGGGTGTTCTATGAAACAGCCACTTCTGACTCTATCTAGTAAATACATTTTCTTAAAAAAAAAAAAAAAAACAAAATAAAAATCAAACAGATTGTTTGCTAAACTGAGACTACAACAGGATTTACTTAAGTGAAAGTAATTGTGAAAGAAGCTAACTGTATGCAAACATGATTCATACGGTATTATTTTTCCACTTCCTGGTATAGGTGCTCAGCTGGAAAGAAACTTGATGCCATAAACTTGTAAGTTATTGTACATGGAACTTATTTACTAATTCAGTTAATTGACTCCTTGCTTATTGGTTTTAATGTTCATGGCAAACTGACTTACAACAAAATGTGTGACTATTACAGTGTTCCTTTACGACTGATTTATTTTCAGGATGTGTGAAGCTTTTGTGGGGAGGGGTGAGTACTATCTAAATCTGAATGATTTTTTTAACTTCTTTGTTCTTGTAGTTGTATTTTATGCCAATAATACTTAGATTCTAATGGAATCAGAAGAAAAAAAAACCCAACAACTAAATAACAGTACAATGAAAACACTTTAAGTGAAAGCTAATATTATGGTTGCTTATGGTTAAGTTCCCTAATACATCTGTTGGCTTCTATGTTTAAAAATGCTGAGTATGCACTGACTTTTTTAAAAATCAAAATAAAATGCTAGGGGTTCAACATTTTTTTATTCATGCTTACTTGTGGGGTGTCAACAAATAATTAAGAACCTAATTTCTGAGGCAAATTATTTTTCCAGGTTTGAAAATGAAAATAAGATTCAAAAATAAAGTGATTTTATTCCTTAAGTGAATACAATACCAAAAGGGACGTTGAAACAAAGTTTGGAGTGCTGCAAGGTATTTTAGAAACTAAAATGTCATTTACAGTGTTCTTCCTGTAGAGAGCTTTGAGAGGAAGCCAGCAACAAAATTATCAGTCTTTAGTCTTCAAGGCATTAGGGGGCACCACGACTTCACAGACTTAAAATGATGTAAATTAAAGTACAGTTACTTTCCCTGTCCAAAGTAAACAGGAAACAGCAAAATCAACTCCTGGAATCATTCCCTACTGCGAGATTATGATACAGTTCTCAATAAAATTTCCAACAGAAGACAACACAGCCATTTGGTAGAATATAGACTACACCCTCCTTTCTGTAAGAGTAATAAAACTAACATCCATAAGGCTAATGGATCCAATATCAGCACCTTTCAAGTTGTTATTTGCATTTTAAGTTTGTCTTCAGGTTTTGATTCTAGGAATCAAGGATTGGAGCATCTCCCTTATGAGGAGAGACTGAGAGAGCTGGGACTCTTTAGTCTGGAGAAGAGAAGGCTGAGGGGAGACCTTATCAACGCCTACAAGTATCTCAAGGGTGGGTTGAAGGAGGAAGGAGCCAGACTCTTTTCAGTGGTTCCCAGTGAGAAGACGAGGGGCAATGGGCACAAGTTGGAACATAAGAGGTTCCACTCAAATATGAGGAGAAACTTCTTCACAGTGAGGGTGACAGAGCCCTGGAACAGGCTGCCCAGGGAGGGTGTGGAGTCCCCTTCTTTGGAGATTTTCAAGACCCACCTGGATGCCGTCCTGAGTAACATGCTCTGACAAGCTCTGGGCAATCCTGCTTCAGCAGGGGAGTTGGACTAGATGATCTCTATGGTCCCTTCCAACTCTGAAATTCAGTGAAATTCAGTGAATAATGACATTTTGAGCTCAAGCTTCTAAGGTGTCACAGTGTTAGTTTGACCTGTGGACTAAATCTCTGTGTGAGCTTGGGATGGAGCTGCTGTAAATCCAGGTCCCTGAAGCGGGTGTCGTGCTTGGGGGAGTCACCAGAAGGTACCAGCCTACGCCACCAGACACGCGTGTGCTCTGGCGGTGACGTGTAAATCTCACCCCACAGGGGACATGAACAGCTCTGACGTGCAGACGTGGCAGGTGATGTACTCAGCAGGTGATTAACTTGGCAGATCCGCCATCTGGGAAGGAATTGGCACGACGTGTGTCCGTGCAGAGGGAAGAAGGTGTTTGTCTGTCCAGAGGGTTGCTCTTCTTGAAGAGAGACGACAGCTGTGAGTTCGAGCGCTGACTTGTAGGCCTGGAAAACAAGATGCCTCGTGCTTGTTCCTCTGCAGCTGAGACGATGCAGTGCTTGATCTAGCAGAGATAAGCAGCTGGACAACGAGCTTACTTACAAGCAAGATGCTTGTCATTCCTGGCAGACCAACGCTGACCTCCTTAGAGTTCTTACCACCTGACCTAGACACCCGAGGCCTCACTCACATCAGCTGTGAAGGATGATTTTTCAGTGGAAAGCCACACTGTAAAAAATACCCAGATGTAACATTTAAGAATATCTGGTCTCCTGCATAAAATGAAATCATACAGTGTAGTAGTACTTTAGTATGGATAAAGTAATCAACCACCTAAAATTTCAGGATGGAAGATGACTAGCAGTGGGGAAAAGCACGACACGAGAAACTTATCTAATTTACGCAAGCGGAAAACATGACTCACCCTCTTTGGAGCTGGGCTGGGGAGTGACTGGATTCCACAAAGTAAACCAGCCTTTTATTGCTACACTTTCTAGTTTCTCTACTGCCCGAATACGGGCACCTTAGTAAAAATCTTGCCCTGAGTGGAGGCTGTGGTTAAAGCTAAGGGGGTAACTGAGCTCCCCGCCAGCGCGGGAGGCAGAGTGGGGCAGGCAGTAGCTGCGGGAGGGTTGTGGCTCCTCTGCAGCCCAAAATAGCCAAGAGAGGGTCAGTGTCTCAGCCCACAAACCCGCGTACGTGACGATCAAGTTTTGGGCTGCTCTGCTGGCAGAAATCTCTTTCTCATGTGATCAGTCACACAAAGAAATTATTACTACCCGTAGGCGCTCTCTCAGACCTTCTGCATCATAAGTTTGTGCCTGTAGATGTGTACACTATGGATATATGTGAGTATAAAGCCTGTGAAGAATAAGACATTTACTATAATATGGTACCTGAGAAATATGTACAGACCTGGTTTTGTTTACGTGGCTTTATTATACAAACTATGCGTAACGTACTGTACAAATGTAAATGAAGAGCAGAGTCTCTCTCTCGAGGTGTTTGCAGTCCTGAAAATACCCCAAGAAACCGGCCAAAGGCAAAGGAAAGGAATACAGAATAAAGGAAAGTGATCAGCCTGGCAGCCACACAGGCTTTTTGAAAATCAGATCTGAATATGTATTTATATTGTATACAAACTAAGGTATGGTAAAATACACATATGCAAATATAGATATATATATATATAATCAGATGCTCAGACGTTGCCCTTGTGAGGTTAGTTTTGCTTTCTGTCAGTACACATTGTGGAACAAGCTTTACAAGAAGACATACTACTCTTTCCCAAAAAAGCCTCACTCAAAAGTAAAGAGCAAGAGGAATATCCCAGCACATACATCTTCAGCATCTCTGATCTAGGGAACCTGAAGAATCAGTTGGCAAATGTCATTTTAGACAATGTCATCGTATAGGTTGTAAATTCATGCCTTCCAAGCGTTCATTAGAGAAAGGAAAAGGTATTTTTTTTCCGTTAGGAATATGTTTGTCATTCCCTTTTGCACATTCTTACCACTGTAGGCTTCATAGCACAGTGACAACTCACAATGGACATTATGGAACAGACTTTGGCCCAGAGAACGTAGTGCCTGTGCTCCACTGGTGTTCCTAGAGCTACAGTTGAAGTCCATGCTGCTTCTTTCCACAGCTGCTTTTACTCACTGTAACTAAATTGACATTAACACCAAAAAAAAGCTATTATCCTTATGCTCAAAACTTTGCTCAGGATGGATATGAAACCATCCTTGTCCAGATGGGCTTTTAGGGAGTTACTCAGAGAGATTAAGGTCCTTGAAAAAGGGAAGGAGGTACAAAGATGATTCTGTATTTGCCTGAAATGAATTTCCTAGAGCTCTGAGTAGTTTGAAGTTTTGGGGTTTGGCTAACGATCTTTATGCACTGAAAGGGCTGTTACTGGAAAATGTTAACACTTCTGCTGAAAAGTCACTTTATGAATTCCTGTATCTACCTCTGCTCGACGGAAACTGCTCTTCAAAAATCCCTTTGGGGAGAAAAATCTCCAGATACCTACCCTTCCACGTACGGGGACTCAGATCTGCTAAAATGAGTTTAGTATTGTATTTTTTCACTATAATTGGATGTTTTGTCAGAGACCTGCTACGTGACACATTCTAAGCTTTCTAAACTCCAGAGAAAGACTTTTATCAGTCTCGGTAGAGTGTGACTCAGGCCCTACCTGAGTGTTCTCTAACACGAAGAATTAGAATAACGTGCCAGCAGCTCAACAGCAGAGAGTCACGAAGAGAATGAAGGCTGTAGGTCAGCATGATGTGAGCAGCAGCAGCTGCAGACCCTCCCCGAGCCACCTCCTCATCCGGGCTGAGAGCGTGGGGCTCGGACACAGGCAGGGCTGGGGCAGGAGGAGAACTGGTCTCAGTTTCTCTTAGATTTGTGATCTACCAAGGATCTGAAGGAAATTCGGGTCAGTTGTTTAACTTGTGAAGCTGATCTAATAAAAGTATGCAGCTGACATTATTAATCCTGATCTTCAAACAAACATTTCACTCATACTTGTGTCCAGCTTTGGAGTCCCCAACAAAGGAAGGACATGGACCTGTTGGAATGGGTCCAGCAGAGGGCCACAAAGATGATCATAGGGATGGAGCACCTCTTCTATGAAGATGGGCTGAGACAGCTGGGGTTGTTCAGCTTGGAGAAGAGAAGGCTCCGGGGAGATGTTATAGCAGCCTTCCAGTATCTGGAGGGGGCTACAGGAGAGCTGGGGAGGGACTCTTTGTCAGGCAGTGTAGTGACAGGACAAGGGGTAACAGTTTTAAATTGGAAGAGGGGAGATTTAGATTAGATACTAGAAAGAAATTCTTTGCTGTGAGGGTGGTGAGACACTGGAACAGGTTGCCCAGAGCAGCTGTGGCTGCCCCATCCCTGGAGGGGTTCAAGGCCAGGCTGGATGGGGCTTGGAGCAACCTGGTCTGGTGGGAGGTGTCCCTGCCCAGGGCAGGGGGTTGGAACTGGATGATCTTGAAGGTCCCTTCCAACTCTAACCATTCTATGATTCTATGACTTTAATGTTAAAAAAAACCCCAAAAATGTGGGAATTTTATTGCTGTATCTTTTAAGTTTTCCAATGTGGAAAATATAATCTCAGGACAGGTCTCAGATAACCACAGCCAGCAAATTATGGTTACATCCACCGTTGTTTGTGATCTAGCTATGTTCTTTTCCATCTGTTACTGACACCCACTGTCACCCTAAAGAAGTTTTTTTTTACCTTTGGGTGGCTAAACCACAATGTACAAAAGCTGACAATTGCTTTCTCTTTTTTATGGTGCACGGGCTACAAAGGATGGTTCAATTACATTTGTCTTCTCTTTAATGTTAACTATTATTTTCTTCTACCTGAACCATGGCATCCAAAAGCATGAGAAATAAACGTCTCTCCAGTTTCGACAGGATTAATCCCCTCAGAGATAAAGTAATTTCTCTCATTGAAGGAGACAGTGGCTGCAGTGAGTACTCACCAGCCTGGCAGATCCAGGCAATCTACCACCTGACCTATTTATCCTTTTCTTACTTCTAGAGAAGACCTGGAGCCAGGTTTGCTGATCTCCCTGTGGGATCTCTGATCCTTTTCTGCCCTCAGGGCACGCCACTTCTACAGTGACTCAAAACTGCTCTTCTTCTGCAGTGAAAATTCACTTTACACCATGCCTAGCACCAAGGAGGTTTCTAAACTAGAAGTATTTCAGCCTCCTGGCACGCTGGCTGTGCCAACACCGTGTGTGCACAAGGGGTATTTGTTGATTTACGTTGTTAAAGGGAGTTTAAAACAGCAGTGCTGCCTAGAAAAAATGAGCTACTAAAAGATCCACTATCCAAGGACTGATGGGAATGGAAAAAAAGGGCTCAGTTGTGGCATTCCCCAAGGGAAGTAGTAAGAAATTAAAAGGAACCAGAAGAAAAAATCCTAATAAATAAAATGGTGTAACAGAGAAACCGTGATTTCCCTGTGTTTGCATCATCTGGCTGCTTTTTTACAGATGTAATGCCAATTAAAGATAGGCTATCTAGCAGGCAGCAAAGTCATGCTGCTGGAGGTACGTTGTGTAACGACATGACAACTGCCTACCTTCGACCCAGGAAACTTTTGTTTCCAAAGAATTATGCAAATGGCTACCAGCGAGGTCTTGAAATCAAACTCTCACTTACAGATCTGTAGAGTAACAAACAACGTTTTGTCCCACTCTGTGTTTTTTTTCCTGTCAGTAAAACCTAACTATTTCTGAGACAAAGTGTCCATCCCCATCTCACAGAGCAGCTCGTCAACAATCGAGGGCAAAGGCTCATGTGCCTGGGATTTCACAATCGTAAATGCTGAGGAGTGAATACTGCAACCAACAATTTCTACAGCGCTACGTAACTTCCAGGAGTCATCAACAAGTTACACAATTTTTTCTGGTTTACATTAACACACAAGGGAAACATGTTCCATGACGCCTGCTTCACCCAACCTCCAAATCAGTTACCTCACTCACTCGCGGTTCGGTTAAAGTCTAAGAAACAGACCCTGGCATTTGGTCAGACTGAAGTCTTTGACAATAGGTATTTTAATAAAAAGATTGTACATACTTATTAAGAACTGCCTAGTTGGCCGTTATTAAAACTTGAATTTTAACAGCTTTCAAGCTTGGCTTTGTACAGCTATTCAACTAAGTACAGCTCAATATTATTTTTTTGTTTTCCAATGACATTTTAACACTTACGTAGAATTAGTCATTTGATTATGACTTGCATTTGTTCCCTGACTGTACATCCCTGAAAGTAAGGGAAGAATAACCTTGCTAAAAAGGAATTTATTTGCCATACTAAAGGATATACACTTGAATCTTGGTGAAGGAATGGGAGAATCTGCTTTGGCACACCCTGTACTCCTAATATTCAAGCCCATCCTTCTTTACCACTGTTCCTTTCCAAGGTTTGTTGCTAGTAATAAATATAACCTATCCTATTAAGATTTGTAACTTCCACATAAATACACTCAGCTCTTGGTAAAATCAGTGAGAGCCCCGTGCGTGTGAACACTGAAAGGAAGGCAGGGAGACCACAAGTCCCTTTAGCAGTAGCCTTATGCCAGTATTTACTTAAACTTTCTATGATTAAAAGGAAAAACAACATAGTTTGCTTTGGGGACTTGCACGTATTGTATAAATATTGCATCACCTCAGCTGAGTGATTTTCCCCTCTCTCACCAGCTACATCGCAGCACACGCCGTTATAGCAGTGTTATTTTGCAAGTAGTTTGTTCAGTTTTATTTGCATTTGTTGGTGTATTATTAAAGTAGATCAGGACCAAGTAACAAATCCTAGCTCTCTTCTGTTAGAGATACTTAATTTTGCTGTAATGCCTTCTGCTTAGTGTAAGAAGGAAAAATCTGTGTGGTTTCTGAGTTGCCTGCCCCCAAGGGCTGATTTAAAACCAGGAGTGGGTATTCTGGGTGGAAGGAGCTTTGTAGGAGACAGCAGCAAGGAAGGCACAGCGAAAGCAAGCGTTAAGGGAATTTACTACAAGATTTTAAAGAAGAAAGGAATGGGTGACATCAGAAGAGAGCAGGTCGGGTAGGAGGCCAGGACTTGCAGATAAACATTACGAATTTGAGGCAGAATAGGAAGGAGAAACAGCAAGGGCAGCCAAAAGAGGACAGAATTGAGCTAAATCAGACGACTGGTGCCCTGGCAGTATGATAATGCAAATGCAAATGAAGAGAGAAGATAAGTGGGATGATAGGGTAACACTGATGGGGTCCAGAGCCAGGTTTAGCCAGGGGAATCGCGGCACAGCTGCTGGCTGGGGGAAATGATGAACGGGGAGATGGGGCACGGGGGACACGACACTCTTATCACTTTCCAGTTGCTCTCAGCAGAGAAAAGCAAGTTGATGACATCGGAGCAGGAAAGATGAAAGGCTCGGAGTTGCACATCTCCTTAAAGAGGGAAACAAAACCAAACCGGACCGTGTCGTCAACTAGAAATGGCACAAGGGAAGAGTTTTGGAAAATGGAAAATCCCAGGGTGGCTCAGCGGGGAGAAACTGAGGACACGTCACTGGAAAGTCCCGGCCTGGAAAAAAAAAAAAAAAAAAAAAAAAAAAAAAAATAGTAACAGTTACATTCAAAGCTCTGGTGAGAATCTGTTAAAATGTAAAAAAGTATCTGTGGCTCCTGTGGATAAGCATTTGAAAAAAGCTTTGCTGAAAACTGATTCTGCTCCAATTTTGCTGAAAAAAAAAAAAAAAAAAAAGAAATAAAAAAATCCACCCAGTAAACAAACTGCGTAGGCAGTCAAAACAGAAAGAGGAACAAAGTCAAATGATACTTCGACTTGAAAGGAGTTTATTTTCAGGTTAGCCGTTTCCTTGAATGGCAACAGCTCAAGTTCAGACAAGAAAAGCCTCATTAGAGTGAAAACGGCTGGTTAAAGTCCCTGCTGATATTAGGCCACAGAAAACAAGCTCGTTTATTAAAATGCTAAGATTTCAAATCGGGATTTTTTTGGATTTTCTGCTACTGGCTGAAGTCAAACAATCCCAGTGCCAAACCAGATACCCAGGATCATTGCATCACTCTAAAATTAGAAATGATTGTCTGGCAAGTTTGGGGAATTTTTTTCCCCCTTCATTTACATGGACTTCCAGACAAGGAAGCTGTCCTTAACGAAGCGCTTCCTAACAACTCACCCGGCTCTCTGTCTTACAAGCAAGTTCAATGCTGGGAATTTTTCCAGCACTGTCCATAAAGAAAACAGGGAAAAACCATGGTTGGTCACACCGAGACAAGAAATACCATCTTGGACAAAATTCTAGGGTTCTTCCCTCTCTAACTAGCATTCAGGAAAATAAAAATATTGACATAAATTATTACCCTTCTCTGAAATAAACCAACTTCCAACGAATGTACTTCACTGTAATTAATCACAGCAACATTAACTCAAATTCTGGAACCAATTACAGTGACAGCGCTTTCTAGCTGTAATCTAGGAAAATAATGAAGAATAATTTAACCATGGAAAATAATTTAACTCTGCTTTTCCGCTCTCCCAGTTAATGACTGTTCCTGCCACCGACACACAGGGCAGTCCAGCCCTGGTACAGCAAACAGCAGTTGCCAGTTTCACAAGTGGTGTGTGGACTGCCCCATCTCCAACCCTACCAATTAAAATGTAGTATTTTATTGTCTTTAAATGCAGGTTCTCTTAGGTCTCATCAGGATTCAACACTACTGTGATAGCCGTCTCAAGCATGTTATCCTTGGCAGCTAATAACTATTATTATTTATGAATCTGCCAACCTATTCACATCCTTTTAGATTTGGGAAGATCAATTAGCAGTCTTGGGGAGGGGGGGGGAGGAGAGAGAGGGTTATGGGATTTTTTATTTTGGTTTGTTTTGTATTGTTCCTAACGTGTATAAATAGTAGGATGGAACCAGAACTGCAGAAACGTTTGAAATTTTGATTATTGTTTTTCCTGCTACAAGATATGGGCTACTATTGTCACAGCAGGGGGCAGGAGGATCTTGACTTCTAAGGTGGAAGCCCAGGACCCAGCTCCATCGATCATGTCTCTACTCCTGGAGCTTTGAGCAGCAGATAATAATGAGGACAAAAGCTTTCCCCAGGCCCCAAGCCGGAGCAGCAAATGTGAAACCCAGCCGAGTTCCTGTTCCTGCATCTGATGCAATAACCCCATTAAGTTTCCTACAGGAGAAGTCTCCCTCTCTTCCATGGGTGCTCCTCTGTGCATGGCAGGAGGATCCAGCGTATGTTTCCTGGATGGGGCCAGGAGCGGAGACAATATTCACAAAAAATGTACGAATTGGACCCTTTATGATTTTTATAGCAATAAAAGCAAACTCTGACAGCAACGTAATCTGCTGATCTTTTAAAGGCTTTTTTTTTTCAGGTGTAGACACCAGTGTGGATCAGGAGGAGGTGGAGTGGCACCTCACAGCAAGAAACCATCTTATCTTAGATGACACCTATTGCAAGAAGCCCTGCAAGAGCTGATCTACTCACTCCTCTGGAAAGCTGCTGCTAATTTTCAAGCTTTAAAATTAAGTTTTTTGCCTTCTGTTAGTCCAGCCATGCTATTGGAAACCCTTTCAAAACAGCTGCATCTCTGATGCTAAGAAGTATTTCGCTCTCGGATTCACCTCACATGCTGCTCCTCATGCCGGTAACTCAGTCATGGAATGGTTTGGGTTGGAAGGGACCTCAAAGATCATCCAGTTCCAACCCCCCTGCCATGGGCAGGGACACCTCCCACCAGACCAGGTTGCTCAAAGCCCCATTCAGCCTGGCCTTGGTCCAGACCTTACTCATAGGAGTAAGTACCACCATAAATCTGGACATTCCAGCCAAAAGACTTCGGTATTTTAGTGTCTGGCTGGCAGCAAGACACTAAAAGAGTTGATATATTTACTTATTGAATACCTGACGCAATTAAGTAACACTGAAAAAAAAGGCTTAAAGGTGAAATGTCAGTGTTTGCTCCTGCTGTGGGGGACTGGTGGTTTTCTTCAGCTGTAACAAGATTTTATCTGTTAAAGCTCCTTTAAATAGCATTTGTATGGAATCAGAGTCGGGGAATATAAAACCTCACGAAGAAGGGAAGGAAGAAAAAGCCCTCAATGAAGTAGAACCAACCACACCTTCATCAGAAAAAGGATTTCCACAGTCAGACCCGAAACTCATCCTGAAGAAAAAAAAAATTAAAAATTATCAAACTAACCTAATTCCTACCAGAGTAACCTAATTCCTACCAGAGTCACTGGCGGTTACCGGAGCAGGGAAGTCATTCCTGGCGCACGGCTAATTCTGGATCTGGCTTTGCTTAGTGCTCTGCACGTCATCTGTTAGTTTTTTTCTTCTTTGACCTTGCCCATGTTGTTACAACGAAAAGTTCACTTGGCAGCTGACGAGGAAAGGAAAACAAGACCCATTGTAAAGCTGAGTGACTAAGTGAGAAAATACACACCAAGCCATTTGAAGGGCCTGGAAAACCCAAACATGGATTTACTCTGCTCACTGACCGATTAAGCAAAAAAAAAAAAAGGCTAAAAGAACCCGTAAGATTTCATGTTCATCATCTAAAAGTTGGAAAGTGCCAGAATTAGCAGAGAATATGCCCAAGAAAGCCTGGACTGGGATCAAAAAGGCAGTACCACAGTTTCTGGCTGGAGAAGGACCAGGTGACTACCGAGGTGCACGTAGCTCACAAAGGGTTCATGTGGACTTTGAGGGCCAGGGTGGCACCAGAGCTGCGCTGACATGGACCTGGCAAGGGTTGCCATTACTGCAGCAACGGAGGTTGGCATGGACAGGGGAAGGGGCTGGAAACCCAGAGAAGCTGTGGCTTCTCCATCCCTGAAGGTCTTCAAGGCCAGCCTGGATGGGGCTTTGAGCAACCTGGTCTGGTGGGAGGTGTCCCTGCCCAGGGCAGGGGGTTGGAACTCAATGATCTTGAAGGTCCCTTCCAACCCCAACCATTCTGTGATTCTAAACCATAGGAGGAGCACAATGGTATCAGTCTCCACCGTGGTGGCATCGTGTTGGCCATGTCTGCCCCAGGGATGGCACACGTGCACCTGGGAACAAGGAGCCGCTTCATGGAGCTCAGAGAAGTCTTCCCCCTCCAAACAAGCTGAAGCTTTCAGACAGATATTAACAAACAAACCCAAACAAGGTAATTACCGCTTCCCTCATGCTTGTAATTCACCAGTCGTCCCTTTTTCATCACATGAATGACATCACAGGCAGAAATTACTGCCCGAGGGCCTAGACTGGAACCGGCTCTGCAATCACACTAATGGGTCTCTCTGCAGACACAGCAGCAGAGGTTTTTTTTTTTTTTAAATTAGCTTTCAAATTATTTTACCGAATAAGAAAAGCCGTAATTAAGAAGTGAAACGCTTCAACAACAACTCATCACTAACAATTAAAAACATAGAAGTAATCGTTTTATTCTCCGGATTTGACAACTTTAGCAGGGAATTAGCATCGAACGGAGGTGGCTGCAAATAAAATGCTATCAAAAACCAGTGACAGCCTGAAACGTGTCTCCTTTAAAGGCTTCAACCTTAGCCCAGATGAAATAAAGCACAGCTGTACAGATGGCACCATACAAGTAAGCTCCCAGGTCTTCCCTGTGCATTTCAACAATACTCCCAAGTGAAGCAAGATCAAACTTTGGTTTTCACTCTTGACATACACAAAACATACGTAGCCAAAGTCCTGCATCTCCATCACAGACAAGTTCAAACTTTCCCAAGAGTAACACCCCAAAACTATTAAGATTTCAGCTGTTGCTGGTGGTGTTACGAAACCTTTCGTCTCTTCCAGGCCCAAGGGCAGGGGCAGTTAAGTTCTCCTTTTTCCTCCACTAACCTCTGTTGGACCTCCGGTCCCTTTCTGGAGCCACAGCCATTCCCCAGAAGACAGTACCACCCACTGGAGCTCTGACCACAAAGATCATGACCTCGGCACAGCCCGTTTCCAGCCTTCTCCCATTTGCTAGGGCTGGAAGGCCACACACGTAACACATCCCCCTGCCAAGGGAGGGACGTGGCCACGTTGAGAAGCCCAAAATCGGCCAGAGACGGGTATTATGCAAAGCAGGGTGGCATAAAACCAAATTATTTTATTACAATTTAATACTGCCTACAGACAGAAGCGCAGTCTATCCCAGCGTCTGCCCCTCCCTCGGTGTTTTTAAGGAGATTACGGTGGGGTGGCAGCTGCACCCAACATAAACCTCTCTGCTCTCCAACCCAAAGTTACAGGACTCACGTGGTATCTCTGGCTACCTTTGCTCCAAGGCTTTCAGGAGCCGCCGGTCACCGAAAGCACCATTAGGCACAAATGAGATCACAGTGAACATTTCTCTGCTGAAATCTTGTTAGGAGGACATTTGTGACCTAAATGGCTGGCTGAGAGCATCATCTAAAAGGGGAGTTGCATAGGAACCACAGCAAGCAGAGAATTTGGCCTCAGAGGAAATACTTACTGATACAGCAAAACCACTTCTGCACACAGTGATGCATATACAAAAGCTTCAAGTTATACAAATAAATCCTCCCAAAGCGCCCATTTTAGGTCAGTCGCACCCCCATGTAATGTTCATTACATATTCATATGCCTCATCTCATTAAATAGGTATTTTCCCAATTTTCAAAAAAAAACCAACCAAAAACCAAAATCACAGGATGTTTCAGTGCTGCTTATTTAAACCTCCACACTGTGAAAACTGTAGAGACTAATCGAGGCAATACGCGTTTTATCTGAAGGCTTTTATTTAGGACTTTGCAAATAGGTTTGTTCTTATCTGAATCTCAGTTATATTCCATGGATTTTATATTCTTCTCAGAAAGCATGTGTCTTTGCTATATATATATTAAATTTCCCCTTATCTTCTCTTACCTCTCTGCCCTGTATGAGACAGCAGTGCTCTGCCTGTTTGCTGTAACAGCAGAAGTGAGAACTACTCATCAGGCACTGAGTCAACTACAAATAAGCACATTACGCCTGTAAAAGCATCGAGCAAGTATTCACAACGATTTCCAATTCGGTTTAAAAAAAAAACAAAAAATAAATATATGAACAGCTGCTTTTAATTTAGATGGGTTAGTTTTTCCTAGACCTCAATAAATAGAAAGCGTAAGGCATGTGGAATCCAAATTCTTTAATGGAGCTGAAGCTAAAAAGCACCGCCTGCACCATTTCAACTTCCAAAGGAGCTTTTTTCCTTTTATCACTTGCAGAAAATCCCCTCTTCCTCCAGGCTCACGCCAGCCAACCGGCCGGACAGGGATGTCGGCTGCTCACGGCGAGGGGCCCGGGGAGAGAGGAAGGATGGATGTGTGAAGAGCTGAAGATGCCGTGTGGGGTCCCGGGTGGGCTCTGGTACCGGGGCTACCGGAGAGGGAGGGCAGCAGCCCCCGGGGGAGCCCATCAGCCGAGCCGAGCCCCGCTCCATCACCCAACCAAGGCCCAAGCGGGCGGCGTCGGTGGCACCGGTCTGGGGCCCGGTTTTGCAGCCCCGGTGGCACCGGTCGGGGCAGGGGAAGGGCGGCGTTATTTGCAGAGCCCCTCCAGCCGTTCCAGGGTGCCCTTCATGTCGCGGATACGCTTGGCCAGGGCGGGCACGGGCTGCATGGCGCGGTCCAGCTCCTCGCAGCGGGCCACCAGGGCGTACATGGCGCGGATGCTGAGGTCGGCCGCCTCGCCCAGGCTCTCCACCCCGTCGCGGTAGGTCTGGATGCAGCCCACGCTGAGGGCCGTCAGGGCCTGCAGCCCGCAGTGCACGTTCCGCAGCAGCTCGTCCACCTGGGCCGCCACTTGCCCAGCCAGGGCCACCACCTCCTGCAGCGCCCCGGGGTCTATGGCGGGGATGGAGCTACCGCCGCTCCCCGCTCCCCCTCCCGCCGCCGCCGGTTCGCCCCTCGGAGCGCCGCTCAACCGGATCCGCCGCTCCAGGTTGTTGGCCACGAACTGCGTGAGGGGCCCTTCGCGCAGCACCGTCCCCTCCAGCTCCAGGGCGCTCGCCAACGTCGCCCGCCGCCCCTCCGCCACCTGCCGCCCCGCCGCCGCCGCCCCGCTGCCGTTAGCGGCTAGGCTCAGCGCCTCCAGGCTCCGCCGCCCCGCCGCCGCTTCACGGCCCGGTCCCTCCTCCTCCGCCGGGAGCCCGGCGGGCCGCGGGCCCGGCACCTCCATGGCGGGCGACGCGTGCCTGCCCGCCAGCGCGCCGCCGCCGCCCAGCAGGGGGCGCGCCGCCGCCTGTTTACCTCCCCTTCGATTGGCTACGAGGGGCGCGGGGGGCGTGACCGAGGCTGTTTGTGCGCCTCCCGATTGGCCGGCGGCTGTCGGCAGGAGACCCGCCCCTCCCCTCCTGCCGGCTTCGCACTGCGGGCCCGTGACTCGGAGACTGGGGCGTGCCCGCTGTTTGTGTCCGCCCGGATTGGTCGGCCTGCGGAAGAGGGCGCGGCCCCGAGTGTTTGTGTCGTTTCTGATTGGCCGGGGAGGCGGGTGTTTCGCCGCGATTGGTGGAGCCCGCCGGAGAGGCGCGCCGCTCTCGCCGTCCTCGAGCGGCTATTGGCTAAGGGGCGGAAGGGGGCGGTCCCCGCTCGGGTAACAACACCGGGGCGCCGCTGGCTGCTCCCTTCACTCCCCCGCCATGTTCTCCTAGCAGCGGATCCCATCGCGCCACCATCTCAGCCCACAAAGCCCGGGCAAAGACAACACTCCCCAGCGACCCGACCCCGCTCGTCCCCCGCCGCCCGGGCTCGACCCTTCTCCCCCGCTTTTACAGCTCTGGGTCCCCACGTCCCGCCATGGTCACCACCACAGCGCCGCCGCCCTTCCTGGCTCGGATCTCGGCAGGCACCGAAGACCCCCGGCGGCTGCCCTCCTCCGCTCTCCTCCAGCGCCTCAGGCGAGGGGACAGCAACTGTGAGAACCAACCCAGCTGCTGCCTGGCGGGCCCGGGGGGCAGCGCCCGGCCCGCGCTGAAGAGAGTCCGGCGGAGGAAGGGAAAGATCCGGCCCAGCCCCGCGGGGCTCCTGCCCAGCCGCTACCAGCAG